AGGCGAGGGGGGCATCGACGTGAGGGGGATCACGAGGCGAGGACCAGCCCCAGCGGAGCAGGGGCTGGGCGAGGACACAGAGGACACGGAGGGGGGATCGGCGGCGGAAGGCTCGCGCGCGTCGCGTCGGCGCGGCGGCGACCCCGCCGCGGGCGCTCGAGGGGTGAACGCCGGCGGCGGCCCAGAATCAGCCCGTGGGGGACGATCTGGCGATCGAGAAGCCAGCGATCGCCCAGGGTGGAACGATCCGCACGGCGTCGCGAGCCCACGCCCAGATGGCCACGACGCGAGCTTTTTTTCCACGCGTTTTTGTTCCTGGAGCGTGCTCCTGCCTCGGAGGTTGTCCTGCCTCGGCTCCTGAAGCTTTTCGCGCCTCGGGATGCGTTTCAGCAGCTGCGCATCGCTGAGAGCGTTGCGGAGCTGCCCGAATCGTCCCGACAGGCCGCCAGAGAATTGAGTCATGACCCGACGACGGACTGCAAGAGTGACCCATCGCCAGATTGACCTGCTGGGTACGGGCCCATAAGGGGGGCCCTCCCAGCCGTAGCTTGCGCTCCTGGGTCTGGCCCCCACGCAGCCCCCAACACCCGCGCGTGCCAGAGGGTACTCATTGCGTGAAGCCGAGGGCTAGAACCAGATTGTTGGATGCTTTTTAGATCGGGATTCGAGTGTCGGCTCTGGAGTATTCTTTTTGCCCGTGCTGGGCCTCTCAAGGCCAAGGGGCATGAAGAGGAGTGGTAGGAAGAGTCGAAGGGTGAGTACGAGGGGACCAGGAAGGGTGAAAGAGTAGGGGGAAAGGGAAAGAGCGGGAAGGGAGCAGGGTAGTTCGGCAGTGTGACTTGGGTGGACAGAGTGCCACCAGGAAGGCACAGTGCTGCCTGGAGTTGCAGGAGGAAGGGCGATGTGATTCGGAGAAAGAGGAGGAATGGGACGCCAAGCACCAAGGTGAGGAGCTAAAGGGGTCAGGCGTATGGAGGGCAGGAGTGCCCAATGGTAAACTGTATTCTTAAGTGCTGGCGTTGTCAGCGAGACCAGGAATGAGACCGCACATCTCCCAAGGCAGGACGTTTCCTGGGCCACGTGGACGCCAGGCTGAGTTCTGGCCTGGACGCGCGCGCGCCCGAGCACTGGGGGCAAGTCTGGGGCCCTTTTTGGGCCCTCGAGCGCACTCCTGAAGAGAGGCAGGGATCGAAGAAACATACCTTAAACACAAACTTTTGGCGCTCCACGCGGATTTCTTGGATCCGCGTTGGGTCCCCCCGGCGGCGCCTCCAGCGCCGCCCCTGGCGCGCTCCGCGCGAGGCCTCGTAGATGGGGTCCAAGTACATGGGGCCGGAGGATCGCGCCAGATCGTCGATGCATCGGGGCTGCGGCTCAATACGAAGCCAGATTTGTTCCACGTTGGCGTCGCCGAGTCATCGCCGACATCGCCGATACATCGCCGATTCATCGCCGATGTATCGGCGATGCGGCGCGATCCTTCGACCTCATCTACTCGGACCCCATCTAGGATGCCTTTTTCTATTCTTATGTATTGTTATTTGGCCGCAGGTGCCGTCGCTGACACAGGGCCGACGACGCCTGGGAAGGAAGCTTCATCGTCCCAGCCTCTATACCATTGACGCTGGGTGTGTCACTTGCGTAGACTGCGCAGATTCGCTGGCCCTCTCCTCGCACATGCTTTCTCTGTCGCGGGCCTGGCGAGCGTGCAGGACAGTCGCGCGGCCCAGGGGGCGCTGAACGGTGAGTTGTGCTCTACAAGTCAACGGATGACAAACCACCCGTACCCTACAATTGTTGCTTACTAATTATCCCTTTGGGCGTTTACTAGACAGCCTTGCCCTGTTTGATTACATCTTGCGGTGCGTTTACTATGTAAACGGCTTCGCGTGTCGGGGTGATTATGGAGGTGGATTTTCTGCCCGCTCACAAAGGGCCATTGAAAAGAGAGGCAGGGCGGCCGCGGAGGGAGAGAGAGGGGGGGAGCGGGCCTGGCGGGGGGGGCACACTCAGGCCATGAAGGTACTCGTCAGCATGCGGCGGCCCAGGCTCGCTCGAGTCGTGGCGTGCCCACTGGGCGCCCCGGAGGTACCCAAGCTACCCACGGCTCCGACAAGCTCCGCGAGTGCGCGCGGTGCCAACGGGGCCCCACCAACACGGAATCATCCTTGCTGCCCGCGCCGTGGTCCCGATTAGGTTCCACGTCGTTCGTGCGGCCACATGAGTCCCCACCACCTGTTAATTTCCTGCCGTTTAGGCTTCGGAGGGGGCCGAGGATTCTTTTCATGGACCCTCGGCCAACGAAGGCGTCCATAAAGAAATGTCCAAACGTACCTCCACCCTCCACTTTCTTTACACCGTAACCCAACCCACTTGTCGACCAATTATTCATCTGCCCCATGGGGCCGTAAACGGGATTCACCCCCTGCCGGCTCACGGCGCCTGTCAATGTCAGTAAACCATCACAGTATGTTGCCATGTGCCAACCGCCACATCAGTACACCAAGGGTCGACCAGCGTCGTCCGTGCCATGGCGTTCCGTCAGGCCTCCATGTCATTCATGTGGTGTCGCCGTGTCTCCCGTCCATTCCGTGCACCAAGGGTCGCCCAGCTTCGTCCGTGCCAAGGTGTTCCGTCAGGCCTCCATGTCACTCATGTGGCGCCGTTGTGCCTCCCAAGCTTTCAGAAGGGGCATTCCCTGCCCACGTCATGGCCCCATCAGGTTCCGTGTGGTTTTGGGCAGGTCATGCCCATGCCCTCCAATTCATCTGAGGCTCCGTGCTCATTCCTGGCAGCGTGCAGGGCCCCGCAGGATCCTGCAAAACCCGACTGACCTGGGTGTGTGTTGACCCGGGCCAGTGCATCTACCACGAATTACATGGCCCCTCCTCCTGTTTGAAGAAGGTCCCTTGGCGCCCCCTGGGCCGCACCCGAGCCTCGGGCCATGATTTGCGGACCCCCCTCTTGGACGTCCCCCTCTTGCACGCCCCATCCCCCAGCCCCCTGCCTGGGCCCCCTGGCTGAGCGCCCCCTCAGGCCATTGGTCACCACCCACCAAACCACCCCAACCCGACCCGAAGGCTCGGATTTACCCTCGATTTCCAGTGAGGGGGGGGTCGGGAAACATCTAAAAAAACACGTGTGGAACCCTTACCCCCCCCCCCCAACCCGAAATTCGGGTCTTCGGGTTGGGTTGGGGTGGTCTGGTAGGTAGTCAATTGGCGAAGCCATGGCCAGGCAAACCTCTGATCCGGGCTGGCAGGCCCGGCCCCGCACCCCGTCGTGTCAGCGTCCAGCCGCCCATAGCCGTTTGAAGCGCCCATCGGACCCTTCCCCAACGATGCCGGGGGATGACGCCCCCGACCTCGTGATCACACTGGTGGCCGGACCCCGTGCTCCGGGCGGGCGCCGGGCCTCGCCCCGCCCGCGAGTGGTGCCCCGGGCGCTTCTCAGTCCGGGGGGGCATTGCAGTGGTGCTGGCCCGGCCAGCATGTCCGAGCTGGCCGCCAGCGGGGGCCTGCAGCGTGCGGAGCATGAAGTTCGGAGGGGGCGCCCTCAACGGTGTGCCTGGGACCGCGCGTGGATGCGGACGAAAGCGAGTAGCTGTGGAGTTTCTTTGCTGTGGAGGCGTGTGCTGGACAGCAGGATCAGCGACAGCGAGTCTTTGGCGTTGGTTGCGGCGACATATACGTGGACATCTGTGGCTGCGCCTCTACCGCCGTTGTTGGAAAGCCTGGAAGGATTCATGGTTGACCTACGTTCGAGGAGGAGGAGGAGGAGGAGGAGGAGGAGGAGGAGGAGGACCAGTGTAGGCCCAGGATGCAGCGAGGATGCTGCAATACGCCCTTCCGTCCCAAGTTTCTCCCTCGCCAGTCCCTGCAAGAGTTTCGCTTCGCTACCAGGTGCGCCCCTTTGAAGGACGAGCGTCCCATGGGCCTGCTTTGCCAGTCCGACGAAAGCCCCGTCATGGAAAGGCAGTGTTTTTTTGCTTCCTGGTGGCGGATGACGAGGGCATCGACACCAGCAGGAACACGATGCTCGACGAGGGGTCCCGCGACAGCCCCGCTTTAATGAGGTGGAGGATGAGAGCGATAATCGAACAGCACGAACATCGGGCTTAAGCGAGCAGGCGCGCACAAGAAGAAAGCAGGACACCATCTCGCAGCGAAGGGGAGACACGCCAGCAGCTGCACGGCCTGCAGCCCAAATCCGCAGCAAGGGCGCACAGCTTCGGCAAGGCGACCCTGGCATCGCTGCTCCCTCACCCCATCCCGAGCCAGCCTCGGGCGTCCAAGGAGCTGTGGGCCGTGGCAAGAGTGGGACTCCCCAGGGGCTTGCACGTTTACGCCGCGTCCCTACTGTGGAGTCTGACCGCAGGTCCGTCCAACGCCGAGACGGATGAGGAGCGACAGACTCCGGGAGTGCCCTGCCCTCGTCCTCCTCGTCCCGTCTCGCGCTCGTGCCCCCGCCGCCCCCTCGCCCCTCCTCGCCCTCCCCCCCCCCTCTCTCTCGCCCTGCCTCCTCGCCCTCCTTACCAGCCTGGAACATGTCCCTATCCCCATACTGGGCACCTCCTCATCACGATGCCAATCTTGGGGATTCCCTTATTTTTTGAGGGCGAATCCCTAAGATTGTCATCGCCTTTTGGCGTGTCAACCTTAGGGATAGGGATACGTTCGAGGCTGGTAACCTCCCTCCTGGGCCGCCCTCGTCCCCCTCCTCGCCCTCGCTCCCCTGCTCCTCCTCCTCCTCCTCCCCCTCCTCCTCCTCCTCCTCCCCTCCTCCTCCTCCTCCTCCTCCCCCTCCCTCCTCCTCCTCCTCCTCCTCCTCCCCTCCTCCTCCTCCTCCTCCTCCTCCTCCTCCTCCTCCTCCTCCTCCCCCTCCTCCTCCTCCTCCACCCTCCTCCTCCTCCCCTCCCCCTCCTCCTCCTCCTCCTCCTTCTCCTCCTCCTCCTCCTCCTCCCCCCTCCTCCTCGCCCTCGCTCCCCCAGCCGAGCCCAGGAGCCGCAAGCTCCGGCGAGGACGGCGAGCCGGACGACGACCTGGACGACGCGGAGGAGTTCGCCGGGGGTGGCCTCGGGCGAAGGCCGCCGACCTCCCGGGCGCAGAAGGAGGGCGTCTCCAGGATCGGCGCGGCCGAAAGGGGGGGAGCGGGAGGGGGAGGGGGAGGAGGAGGAGGAGGAGGAGGAGGAGGAGGAGAGGAGGAGAGGAGGAGGAGGAGGAGGAGGAGGAGGAGGAGGAGGAGGAGGGGAGGAGGGGGAGGAGGGGGAGGAGGGGAGGAGGGGGAGGGGAGAGGGGAGGAGGAGGAGAGGAGGAGGAGGAGGAGGAGAGGAGGAGGAGAGGAGGAGGAGGAGGAGGAGGAGGGAGGAGGGGGAGGAGGGGGAGGAGGAGGAGGAGGAGGAGGAGGAGGAGGAGGAGGAGGAGGATGTGGACGAGGAGGAGGAGGAGGAGGAGCAGGAGCAGGAGCAGGAGCAGGGAAGAGCACGGAAAGAAGGCGACGAAATTTTACAGCAGTTCTTGCCGCATGATGTTCCAACCTATTTTAGCTCGATCACCAGGAAGAGTTTCGGGCACCAGGACAAGTACCGAAATGTTGGCGGCTTTCGCGTGTCGGGCCCTGGGAGGCGATAATGGTTCGACACTGTTTCGATACTTTTCTGGGTGCTCGACATTATGTCTGGGATGTGATCCTTCATGACGATGGGAGCAACATCCTTGTTGTCTATTCTGAGCAGCAAATGTTGTCGGGGTCGCCGCGGGCGTGATCCGCTTGAGGCAGACGGCCGCCGGCCCAACAGCGGCCGCTGTCGGTTTGGGGACACCATTTGTGCTTGGGCATGGTATTACCAGTTTGACACATCTCCCTATCCCTAGGTTTGGCATCACCTTACCTTGCTATACCGATCTTCAGGATACCCTCAGTTTCTGAGGGCCTATCCCTAAGATTGTCATCGCTTTTGGCTTGCCCATCTCAGGGATGGGGATCAGTTCCAGCCTGGCTATGGTGCCCGATTTTTTCGTGCCCACTTCGGGCGTCCAGAAGCAGGGGCGGGGAGGTCAACGTCAAGAGGTCAAGCCTGTGTGCCCGCGAAGGGGCGGCAGCTCGGGGCATGAGCGGGTGAAAACCCAGCGTCATGATTCGCAGGCCATGATTTCACCGCCCAGCGCGTGGGCAAAAAATCGAGCTCTATCAATCGCAAGCAGCGGTGGGCGAAAATCCTGCGCCAGATGATCGGCCGGGGGAGGAAGGAAGGGGAGAAGGGGGAAGAAGAGGACCGGCAGCTCTTATTCGAATTGGGAGGGGGTTAGGGGGAATGGGAGGAACGGGATCTGTTGCATGCAGCTGGTCTTGGCCCCGTCGTCTGGGGTATTTGCCTTTATTCAAGACGCTTCGCGTTCACCGCCCGCCCATTCCAGTTCTCGCCGGACGAGGCGAAGACGGCTCCATGACGGGATCGTTGTCGTCGTTCTCGGTCTAGACATCCTCTGCACTGAGGGCTCTGTGCCCCCCCTGGCGACGGCGAGGCGGGGGAGCGGGGCAAGACATCAATAGGTCCGCATCGGGTGTCACGCGCGCCCGATGTCTGAGAGACGTGAGTGGGCGCGCAGCGTTTTGTGTCGGTGTGCGGGCGTCAGCAGGTGTCAGTGGCGGCATGCTCCCGTGGTGGGCTGGTGTCATGCGGTGGCGTGGCATTCCCGTAGTTCTGTCGTGCTTGTGCAGTCGACTGATCCGATGGTAGGGAAGGCGGCATGCTCCCGTGGTGGGCTTGTGTTATACGGTGGCGTGGCAGTCTCGTGGTTTTGTCGCGCTTGCGCAGTCGATTGATCCGATGGCAGGGAAGGTGGCTCTTGGAATGGGTTCTCCAATGGCTGACCAGATGACTGGCCCGAGGTGTGCCGTGGTAGATGTCTGGGTGCTTGTCCCGACGGTTGCCCGGATACTTTTCCCGTTGCTAGTCTCGGCGGTTGCCCGAGCGGTTGGTTGCCCCGACGGTTGCCCTGGCGGTGATCCGGCCGGCAAGGCGCCAAGAAGGGCCGAAGAGGAACCCGAAAAGGGCCCCAAAAGAGGCTAAGAAGGCCCCGAGGCGGTTTGGGGGAAACCCAGGGCGGCTCAAGCGACAGCACTTCCGCGTTGGGTCGCAACCGCGTCCGTCTTGCAGTAAAAACCGGGCGGGGTCTGCCCTGGTTTGGGGTCCGTTTTGCGGCCCAACATGGGCCCCGCAGGGTCCAAAATGGACCCCGGAGCGCGCCCAAAAACGGCGAACAAAAGGGAGTGATGAAAAATGACGCACGCGAACCCGGAAGTCAATTGTAACCAGCGCGCGTCCTGGACAGTCCCGGGGAAGCCGAAATCAGGCCAAAACCATAGTATTTGCTATTTTGTTTGACATCCCCACGCGTCGGCGAGAATGAGCCAAAGAGGCGCTGTCGAGGGCTCCGGGAGCGGATATTGGAGGCCAAGAAGGGGCCCCGACGGGGCCGAAATGGAGCCCACAGGCGCCCCGGCAGCGTCTTCATAACGATACCAAGAGCGAGCTTGTCTTGGACGCCGTCGTGGAGCCGTCGTCTGGGGTGTTTGCCTTTATTCAAGTCGCTTACGCCATTCCGCCGACCCCCACAAGGAATGATTGTTTGAGACGATCGTGGAAGTTACATCTTGGGTCAGGAGACTCCTCGATGAATCTGAGGGTCTGTTGGGATGCCTCTCTGGGAGCTTTGGAGAACTCTTGAGGCATGAGGAAGGTTTTTGGGGGCCTCGTGGGGGTCGCTGTGGGGCTTCTTGGGGTCGGCTTCGAGGCCTCTTGGGGCCTCTTGGGGCCTCTTGGAGGGCCCTCGGGGGCCTTTGGAGGGTTCGAGGGGCCATCTTGGTGGGAAAGGCTCGAAATGTCAGTTCGGATTTCCCCTCTCGGGCTGTCTTTGGCCTCTCTTGACTCTAAAAGGAGGCTGGGGCAAAGGCGAGAGATAGCGAGCGTTTGTCCGCGGCCGTTTGTTCTCAAGCGGCCGGCCGCCAAGATATGACTGCGCCTCATCGCGAGGCACACCATTTGCCATTGAGACCGAAACCAGATTCGCTTGACATGGCCCGTCGCTCCCGCGACGATATCCTACTCCTGGGCCTATCGTTACTACGGTTCAACGGTGTGTGTGTGGGGTTCGCTTTAGGCGAAGCGTATGGTTGGGCCTCCCAACCCCCTTTTCAAACTTGGTAGCGGAGCTGGACTATAGTAGTCAGCTCTGGCTCTACTTATCACCATCCATTCCATTGTCTGGTGGGTTACTGACACGGTGCAACATCAGGGCGCTGTGGGCTTGCGCGGAGGAGTGTATATATCTACGCACAACCGCAAGAACACTTGCGGTACTACCTCCGTTCGCACGGAGGTATCTTACATGAGTCTTACCTCTCTGCGTTACAACACTCCCGAAGCCCACCCTTCCACTCCAATTGGAAAGCTCTTCGAAGACACGATGCATGGCAACATGCGATACGATTCTGTGCCGCCTCCACTTCCGCGCAGGCTAACAGCGACGTCACATCATAAACCACAGCCACAAACATCCGACCGCGACCTACGAAGCCATTGCATTGGCATTACCAAATTTAGCCTCCCATGGGTCGCTATCGGATGCGTTGTTGGGAACACGCAGCGCGGCGGAGACGACGCCCGCATCGCCGGCGCCTACTGGGGCCCTGCCGGTAATGTGCCTTTCCGCGAATTCGCTCGCGAGGCACGCGCCTGGATCAACGCGACCACAGGCACCATGACCCCTCCCAACAGGCCGCGGCACTACAACGTGGTTTGGGAGGGCCCGCAAGGACCATAGCCATGAGAGTACCCCCCGCAGTCACTAACTTTGGCGCGAATATTGGCGGTCGCCACACCGATGGCGCCACCTGCGTCATGTTCCCCCTCAGGGCGAAGTTTGAAAATCTAGAGGAGGAACGCCGACGTATCTCAGGAACGGCTCTCATCGACTTTCGCCTCCATGTGGGCTAGTGGATCGACCAGACGTTAGCCCGATTTGAGATTGCACGCTTCGAGGCCGAGACCGCAGGCTTCAACATTCCCAGCTTCCAGATGCTAACAGCGAGTTTGTTCAGAGCTCCGGGCGCTGGCACATCGCGGCAGCATCCACTACAGCCACTAAACCACCATATGCCAAGGACCCATCAGCAGTTTGACCCCCTGCTAGAGCGCATGAGGTCTGAGCGACCCCCTGGCAACATTGGTGGTATATTTTGCCACGATCATCGCGCCGAAGCCTGTCACATCGACGTTTGTGCATGGCAACCTGCTAGCAACGTCTGGAACGACGATCCAAAACCACCTGAGGCCACAACCTTACTACGCCAAAAGGGTGGCCAGCCTACGGGGTCGCAAGACTCCTGGGCTCGCTGCCAGGGACTGCCAGCAGCGGCGGCCCCTGCCCAAGCCACTACCCTTGAAGCTCTGCGGGGCATGCCGCTGAGTCCGAATTCGATTCCGGCACCGACGCCGACGCCTCATCGGATGAGGGGGCTGGTGCCCTGGACTACTCCGACATGCCTGTGTACCTACGACGAGCGACAGGCGCAGTCGTGATTCCTGGGATACCAGATGCACAAACGCCAATGGAGACGCCCCATTAAGAAACGAGTTCGCAAGGCACGACGCGCGGCCCGACGGGCGTTTAGGTCGAATGGCAAGGGTAGAGGTACAGGTAAAGGCAGACGGCGGAGATTACAAGGCAGAGGTATGTTGGCATTCCTGGCACCCCTTACGGGACAACAGTATGAAGATTTTTTCTCCGGGACAGGTAGAGGCCGCAGGCGCGCCCCAGGCAGAGGCAAGGGGCGCCGGAGTAATCCGATGGGCGCCAACGGGAAAACCATGGAACGTGACATCTGCCATAGTATTCAACACTTTCGTCATGAATGCCCCCGAGGCGATGGGAGAGGCAGGGGTCCGTCGATACATTTGGCTCAAACCGATTTTGATATTCAGCATGTCGATTGGGAGATTCTTCTCGCCGAACCCGAAGACAAGCCTGCTGCCGCTGTCCGCGGCATGACCGCGAGGCATCTGAGGTGTGTCCCTCGAGAGAGATGCGGATGAGCTCTTCGAGGAGACCTGCGTTGGCCGCGACGAGATCAACCTCGCGGACCTGTTGGGCATTCCTATCGCGGGGCAACCCGCGCATCGAGTCTGTCGAGGATTGCAACGCGCCCGCCGATTCGGATCTCGATGTGGCGGGGGCACCTGCGGACTTGCGATGCGCCAACGCCGACTTGTCAGTCACGAGGGCCATGGGTTTGCCCGCAGATATGCATCAGCAGCAGACATGCAGTTGGTTTGACCGAGGTTACACCGAGCACGACATCCGCCAGTGGCATTCACAGCACCAGGTGTCGCGGGACGAGCGTGGCAAAATCGTCCGTTCCGACAGGGGGAATGGCACCGAGACGGCCGCCGCGCTGGAAAAGAGGGGCGCAAAAACAGGGCCATCATTACGGATCGACAAGAGCATCGAGGACAGGTCTGCGGCTGCGAGCATTCTGCGGACCACGGACGAACATGTCCAATGGGGCGTCCTTCAAGGAGCCCCAACTATGAGCAGGCCCCGCAGGTCTGGCCCCGCGAGGGCGGCCTAGGGCGCAGGGCAGATCCGACCTGCAATCCTAGTGAAGCATGCTTGACCAAGGATGAGCATCAGCCGCTAAATGCTATCGAGGCAAAAAGCGCTGAGCAATAGTGGAAGGAACTCGATGAAGATCACCTCCGCAAGCGATTCAATCGAGGATACCATGCGACTACGCCCGCAGATTCATCTGCGGGTCAAGCGGCTTCTTCCTCTCACGAAGGTGCTGGCAAGTCCGAGGCTGACCAAAAAGGTGAGAATCCTGTCCTCGCGTCAGCTGTTGACCCTATTGAACCTGCCCCTGAATCGGAGTGCACTTGCGAGACCGCCAGCAGTGAGTCAACTAATGCAGGAAAAGACATCTGCCAAGGTAACGGAGAACATGGACCGGACACCAGGCACGGTAGTGGAGTATAATTGCTAAGGGAATTGTCGGATAACCTGCGCGGTACTCGGCGCGCTGCTCGATGGGCAACATCCGTTAGATTGTAAAAGCGGGGCCAACATTCAGAACACGGCACTCTACAGGCCGAAAGATAAGCCTCCGCAAGACAGATCCTGATCCAGGGGCGCGGGGGAACCCGCCGCATCCGTCAGCGCGGGGGCGCCCGCTGAGAAATCATGCAAGGCCGCGAAGCCCCCGCAGAAAAAAAAAATGCTTTCCGATATAGAAATTGATTTGCCCCGATCATCGAGCTCAACAAAGTCAAGGCCGCCAGCAACAGCGTCACCCAAGCAGAAGATGAGAACCAGCTTAGCCGAGGTCGACCCTGGAAGCAATAAATCACAAAGAGATGCGGGGAAGCCCGCCCGCGGACAGCACTCCAGGGGGCCAGCAGCGGCTGCCGCAGCACCAGTGCTCCAGGACGGCAGCGCGCCCAAGCCAGGCCGCAGGAACCTGTCGCCCTTCGCGGCCCCGCACCCGGCAGGCTCCTAAGGGGAGCTGGCCGGGCGCCATCGTTGCACGGCGCCTCTGAGACACGCTCCTCGCAGCCAGATGAAGACGAGCCGGCGCCCCGGACTACGTCCCGGGCCTCAGGGACAGTTCCGGAGACTACCGGGTGCCAATTTTACGATATTCGCGACAAACACGAGGTCATTTGGGCGTGCAAGCTCATCCGCAGACCCGTGGATGCTCCGGCCTCAGCGGGGGGCCCCGCGGCATCGGCATCTGCATCTGCGGAGCAACCTGCTTCCATCATTAAATTCAATGAGGAAAGCAGGCGCAACTGGGAGACTTTGGATTCTCCTCAGCAGATGATGTGCAACCCAGCATATCGACCCAGTGCTGACGACAGTTCAAGCCGCTACAGAGTAGCACAATGCAAGGCAGTATGCACGGCAACGCGCGCCGCGCAAAAGGTCATCGAACGCCAGCGCGCCCGCAACCATCTGCGGACACAGCCCGTCCTGTGCTGTAGCATTGAGGCTGAATGCTTATCGCAGACACTGTGCCGCGAGTACGTTGGCACGAAGTCACCGGATGGTAAGGGCCAGCGTCTATGCTCGGAGTGGCTCGCTACAAACACTCGGCGCATGCCGTTTTACAGTGATGGTATCTTGCATCGGCTTACATACTACGTCACCTCGTTCGACGTGTTGGACGGTTGGGTGGACCTCAGTGACTTGTTGGAGACTTGGCCGCCGAAGAACTGCGAATATTGGCATGATCATCCCTTGGAAGCCATCAAGACATACTTCCGAGGTAGACTTTGGGCACGCCATGCGCTGGCTGTGCTGAAAGTATGTGAGATGGTCGACAACTCTGGCATGCAGAACAATCGACTTCAGGTGAAAAAGCTCAGATACACCGGGGAAGCCCGCCCAACGTACTTCCTGCGGCCCAGCAACGGACGCGGCCGCCCAGGCATCCAATGCCCAGAATCCCTCTACTCACGAGTGACAGACCTGAATGAACTGCGAGCACCCCGCTATTTCATACACGGGATCAGATGGGCGAACATCCTGGGTAGATCGAGAGTGGGTCTGTCCTGCCGGAGCCAAGACAATCCTGAGAAAAACACGGGCAGGCAGATGATTCATGGGTGCCCATAATTGCCTGGAAATGGTCGGACCCAGTCAGGCCTGAGGATTGATTCCGAAGTTCTGATCTTAGTGAGTCTCAAGAATCTGATTCGCGACAACATCCTGGTCTGGCGGCCCGCCAACGGTAGCATCATAACGTCGGGCGCGGCCGCATCCCAGTGAGTTCACTTGTCCAACTTATCGGCATCAAGCACAGCAGATACGAATGCGCGTGCGATCAAGTCGGACAAGTTTGGGTCAACGAATTGTATTTTGACACTCAGCGGGGTGACCTGCCACGGTGCAATATGGCACCGAAGGAATGGTACGAAGAGGCATTCGACCCTTTCTCATTGGAGGGATGGATGGTATCAGGCACCCCTTTCAACTTGCGTGTGCCCACGCCGACCTCCTCGCCTGCAGAGGTGCCTCACGCCTCGGTATTCATGATTCAAGAGGTATACCCTGCGGGGACACCTGAAGACGGCTTGGATGGATCACGGATTCAGGCTCAGAGTGCGGATGTGTTTGGCATGACACGCAGTGGAGTTACGCCGAATGACGGGCTCCATGCGAACGACCCATGGCGCAACCAGGCGCAACAGATGCCGATACCCGCGGGGCAACCCGCTGCATTCGCGCCCATGAGCAGGGCCAGGACCCCATTTAGCATTCCACAGAGTACTGGAAGCACAAACAGCTTGCAGGCCAGACTCCAAAGTATTCGGTTGGACCCACAGCTCTACCAAGCCTGGCAGGCCACATCGCCACTTGCATCTCCACGTGCCGCTGCGCCACAGACTGCGCCGACGTGGCAGCCTACTATCATGGACCAGGAGGGCGCCCAGAGGACCGACAGCCTATTGGGGCAGCAGCAGTGGATGCACAGGCAAATGAGAGGCCATGGAGAGCGTGAGGCGGGACGGAATAGACTTTCCAAGCGCCAGCTGTACTCCACTTTGGGAGCATGTGCTTGATGCGAATCCATCGCCGAAACATCCAAACAGGCACACCGGCGGTTTTTAGCCATCCTTCCCACCTATGATCCGACGGCTGCCGAGAGGCCAGTGGCACCACGCATCGGTGCACCCATGTTCCACAATTATCATGCGCAGACGACGGGGGCCCCTCGAGTCGGCAGCCAGAACGAAAACCGGCACGCACGGGCGACAGCAGGCGATTTCTACAGGTCCCAGCAAACACGGGCAGCTGGATACGAGGTTGGTATCCCTGGCCAGGTGCCCCACCTTGGGTACCTGGCAGCCCCCATGAACCAAGAAGTGACCCACACGGTCCAGAGCTGGTTGTGCCTACATCGATGGGGGAGCTGCGGCCTGTTGGCCATCCATGAGGCGCAGCAGGCCGACCTCCCAATTCACTTTGCTCGCCAGCAGCGTAACCAGGCGCGAAAAGCACGCCGCGTGATGAATCGCGCGGAGACACCAGCTGCTCCCCCAGCTGCGGACCAACCCGCCATAGGCCTTTCAGCAATGCTTGCGATGGGATCGATGCCTGCGGGGCCACCAGTGGCACCTGCAGTCGCGCCTAGCCGCTACGAAATGTGAGAAACACACACTTGAGCGGCAGGCGCGCATCAGGCCGTCTGTGACGCCACCGATCATCAGCGACGGCGATTTTACAATGTGCGCCATCTGCCTCGAAGGTTTTGGATATCAAGACAAGGTGTGGAGTATCACATGTGGTCGTACCTTTCATGCGCAGCGCTGGGGCCGTGCATCACACCCGCGCGTGGAGCGACAGGGGCGAGGTGCCCCATGTCAGGCGCCACGTGCCATCTGCGGAGGCGAAGGCCTCATCGCAGCCGAGTTTCACTGTGCCCTTGCTGGGGAGCGCAGCGCAGCGGATCGACATGCAGAAATCCGCCGCGGGGCAAATGATTTCGGAGACCTTCGTGAAGAGCTGATCCGCATCACCGCCCTGATGATAGGTACAACGGCTACTGCAGGGGCACCTGCTGCACCTGCGGGGCAACGTGCTCCACCTCCATGCGCGTGGCCAAACCCAACGGCAACGACGCCAGTTGCAGACGTGCAAGTGCCGCCGGTAGCCGAGTCAGCGGCCATTGCAGGGGCACCTGCTACAACGACGCCAGCAGGGCTACCTGCTAGTGAGGCGTGGCTGAGACGCATGGAGAGATCCACCGTGCCATGTGGCAGGGCGCGGGGGAAACCGCTACGCTCGCGCAGAACCGAGAGCCCAGTGAGCGTGCGCAGCGGTGCCAGTGCCATATCTGGGCGCGACATGCTGCACACGGTGCTGATGATCAATACAGATGGCCAGATATCCGTGCGAGCCGACGAGGACACCTTTAAGAACGTGCCGCTTATGCTGCATATACTCTCGATGTGACGAGCACCCCACTGCATGGATTATGCAACAGCATCCTGTCACAGATGAAAAGGTCAGGGGGTACATGGGCGTCTTCACCTTTTTGACAAGGGACCAGTGGGTGCTGGATCAAAGGTGCTGGAAGGCACATCGCTGTCCGCTGTGCCGGGCATTTTCGGTGAACGACATGAGTTAGCCTTAGCAGCGAACAGTGGCACCACGATTGATGGAATGTTGTCTATACTGCTGGGCATCAGAACCAACATCAACATCATCGGCTTGGAAACAGCGCGGGCATTCGAGCGGGTTTCACGCTCGCATGGTCACGATATCAAGAAGCTGGATCTGAAGAAGGTATTGTACGTGACCGGAGTGGGCAATGGAGTCGACGATTGCAAGACGCCACTTCATTGCAAATTCGCCTGCAAATGAAGGGCGACTCCGCGGGGGCACCCGCCATTGCCCGTGTAGGCACTCAGCCAATGCGGCAGAGGGGTCAGGCGAGAATATGCCCGCAATCTTGTGGCAGAGAAGCATGGCGAACACGCGCACCATCCTAATCCTTAAACGGGGACATGACAAGATGGTCATCCCAGGTACAGACACGCACGGGCCCCTCATTGGTAAGGGTGCCATGGTGCTGGATCTGATAAAGACATCATCAGGGCACCCTGCGAGCAAGGTCGACGAGTACGGGGTAGCAGCGGAGGCCGATGGTTCGACAGCTTTTACCAGTACGACCCTCATTGCGAGGAGGCGCCCGTGCCCATCAAGGAGACCACGGATATGGAGCCGACTGCGGGGCAACCTGCTTCTAGCAGCGCGGGGGCGCCTGCCCCTGCCGACGCCCGCGCGCGCGATGTCCCAGGGCGCCAAGGGCGTCAGTTTCTCCATTAATGAGGAGACGTTTCATACGCGATCCAGTCTATGGAGGATAACACCCTCGAGACGCGGCATCGCAGGCACGCGGTGCACGGTGGCAAACCCGCGCCTGCCGATCAGGGCTTCGCTGCGAGGAACTTGAAGGCGAAAGTCTATCAGACCATGAACGAGGAGTGTGATATCTCTACCTCGAGCAGTCGCTCAGCGGCTAACGGCACGGGCATTTGGGCGCCCCCTTCGCTTGAAAGCGAGTGGAAGGGCAGGCGCGCGCCACGGCCACTCGCGCTTGCCGGGGCAGGCCGAACACTGAGGTGCTGCCTTCAGGCGCGGGGATACCTGCATACTTGTCCCAGGCGCCGTTTGCGTGCGCCAGGGGCAGCGGCGGGCCCGGCTGCGCGGCTGCAGCAGAAAAAGATCGCTCATCTCATCAATGTCACTCTCGTACCCTTGCCGGATATACGAACAGCTTGCGCTGATTTCCGAGCTCGAGGATACATGTGCGACCGTGCTACACGCGCAGAGGTCGCGACCTCTATTGGTGCACAGCACCTGGGTGGCCTACCCCCGGGGGATTACCAACTACTGTGGGCGGCAATGCCCGCTGACTGGCATGTGCGACTGCCTGGGAAGAGGGCGGGGCCACATTGCCAACGCATCCAAAATCTCATGGTCAAAGCTCGGGCTCTACGTATGTCTAATGTATTTATGGGACCTCCAGTCTACTTCTGGAGAGTGGGTCCCATACGCGGTACCATTGAGGATTCAGGCTTGCAGATCATGCGATATCGATGTTGGCATTTTAGTTCGGAATTCAACCGTTCAAGCCGTTTGCCGAGCGCTTCGTATTTACAGGCGGCAACCACCTACGCGCGCATTCCCGCCAATCTGTGGAAATGCACGTGCCAAGTCGCGCGGGAACCTGCTCAGCAAGCAGAGCATGAGTTAGACTGGTACGGCCAAGGCGCCCAGTGGGCGGAATGGCGAAACAGAACGATCGCTATCATGACTGCAAGGCCGATTGGCCAAATAGACCATCATAAAGCACAGAGAAATCACACAAGTGCTGCGCACCTCAGCGTACGCGCTCGAGTGGACAAAGGAGTTCGGACTTACGTCCAGTCTCCTAAGAATGGCCCTGAATGGGGTCATGCGGCACGCCGGGTGACGATGAACCTTGACGACAATACTATCATACAGGACATCAAGGTCCAAGATCAACCTGGACGAGCATCCGTACTCGATTGTATTGGGAGCTTCCGGCGCCAGTCTTATTCGGAAGCGAAGAACAGCGACCGCGCCCAAGGCAGGTTACGACCGTCGATGGCGATCGTTTTCCTTCCCCCCTCGATTGAGCGCGGCCGCGCGCTACCCCCGAATACCAAATTTCCGACGCTTACTTCACCCGAGAATGAACGACACCAGACAGCATTTTTCACCGACGCCCGGATACAGCAGAAAGAAATGCAGAAAGGTGATCAAGAAGCCGGTATCAGACCGCGCAAGATAACCAAGATGTTCGAAGACGGCAGCGACAATTGCGGCGTGGATATGCAGGGCCTCGGGCGTGGAGCATACTGCACGGACGTTCCCCTAGACACCGACATTGACGAAGACGAAGATACATTCGTTGCACTACCGGCGGGGCTACCTGCGGATGCACATGCTCTTGTGTTCTCCATAATCCCAACCTTGTGCTACGGACGAAACAACATGGTAGACGTTGGAACTGTGTGGAGGTAATGGGAATATCGCAGATAGCCTTCAGCCGAGGTCAATCCTCGGGGGGGAATCTCGACACACGTTATTACGTTGACCTTGGACGCAAGGAAAGCCAGGATGCAATAATGCACGACTTGGATGTGTGTTTTGAGTGTTGTCATGCTACAACCTAGCTGCAGAGCCTGGCACATGGACATGTGCCAATGCGTGTAAGCTGCCTGACAACCACAGACAGGAGCCCCCGGCTCCTGCCGAACCAGCGGCCCCACCACTTGCGGCGGCAGCTGTCTCCGACGCACCACTTCCTGCGGCGGCAGCTGCATCCGAGGCGCCAGCCGCCAGACAAACTGCGCGGCTACAAGCTCCGAGGCCCGGTTCCAGAGCTGGACCAACAGCGGACGCCAGCAGCCGCGACATTACAGTAGGCAGACATGCTGCTGAACCGGCCGCGGAGCAACCTGCTTCGAGCGGAGCAGGCAGCTCGGACGAGCACAGACGACAACCACAAATAGTGGCTAGACGAGGGCGACGGCATGTAGGGGATCCACCTCCACCACCACCTGCTGGCAACCCTGCTGCTCGCCCACGGCTTCCAGACTTGGTCAAGTTCGCAGTGCAAATTAGTCGACAGAACTTGCGCAGCCTTGATCCAAGCGCGGTAACGCGCGAGTTTCGAAAACTACACTTGCGGTGTTTCCACGCGAAAGAGCTTAAGGCGAGACTCATCTTAACCAAGGCTGGTCTGGACAGCGTCTGGCTAAACTTAATCAGAGGCGTCTGTGGCGCATGCCAGGAGCGCAGGGCTCGGGGCAAACCAGGACATACCGTCATGCCGTCTACTGCACTACCTGGCAAGTTTAAGGATTAAGCCGACTGCGAGCTGATGTTCTATATACAGGAACACAAGATATTCCACATAATCGATCGTTGCATTCGATACGGTGCTGGAATCCAGATACCAGACAAAACCATGAAGAGCATCTTTGACGCGTATCACCAGTGCTGGATGCAATTCGGACCTTCCAAAGTATTTTACTCCGACGGGGAATGTGCACTCAACAACGACACCGCAAAGGCAGCCTTTAGGGCTAAAGGCACTAAGCTGAGGATACGTGAGCGTGAACAACACGGTACGACCATCGAAACCAGACGTGGCAGAGTACGACACTTACTTCGCGCCATGGAGGCTGAACTCAACAGATTAGATATACCTCTTGTGTTCACCGGTCTACTGCGAGAAGAGTCGTTTGCCGCCAATGGGTCTACCTTCTACAACGAGGTGTCTCCATGCAACGCACTGTTCGGCCGGCAACCGGCGATGCTACCCGACTTGCTTGTTTTGGACCACGAACAGCAGACAGAAACATCCGACCGCTCTCGAGAACAGATAATCCGACGGGTAAGCATTGAGGCTATTGCTCAGGCCACTGCAGTAGCAAAAGCGATCCGTGCACTACGGACCAAGACTACTACGATTTGGTCAGCATTACTATGACGAAGGGGATCTGGTTGACTATGATCGCCCCACGACTACGAAGAACGACTGGGGCGGCTGGAATGGACCAGTCCCGGTTGTACGGAATGATCCCGGCAGGGGTCAAGTCATCGCCAGAGTGGGGAATCGCGATGCGCGAGTCCAGTACGGCGACGCACGACATTTATCATACGGCTCTGACAACACAGCAATACGGAATGCGTTGGCATTCGTAGCCAGTCGACCTGCGGGGCGACTTGCTATGCTATCTGGTTACCTCCCGACCAAAAAGGGAGTGCACCAGATGACGAGTACAAGCCGACTTTCTCCTAATGTACATGTACCTCATCAGTATTTCGTCAGGAACTTCATTCGCATCGAGAACGTAGTGTCTGTCCGGTTGGCTAAGAGTATTCACAGCCTACTTCCGGTGACTTATGCTGACAGTTGTACATTGGTGCAAAATGACAACGACGTGAACCCAGGCTTCCATTACTACGAAGCCGACGGCACTGCCCTAAACATATATGATATAACTGGACCAGCACATTCTAGGACCATCCAGTGCCTGAAGCCCACGGAACCGCAAGCGGGCTACGAAGTTCGAAGAGATGGCCGACGCACCAATGCAAGACAACGAAGCCATGGTTGCCCCAGAGAAGCCGAACCACCACAGGAAGACGGACGGCTTCCCACCATGCATGAGAAATCAGAGGCGGACCTCGAGGCACGCATTATGGAAAGGAGACAGATCATGTCCAACTGTGCTCCACGGACGAAGACGACAGTTACGGATTGGACTCTGACGGGCACGGACAATATGTAGAACTCTGGTTCGCGGCAGACATGTCAAGGGTAGTCCTATCCGGACAACAACACATACTACTGGATTTAAGCCGCGTGACCACTATGCGAGTATATGTGACCGCTACAGCTAAGCGAGCTG